ATGGGGGGCTGCTGGGAACGCTTGATACGATCCATAAAAACTGCCTTTTATGCCATTTTGAAAGAAAGATCACCAAGAGAAGAAGTTTTGAGAACTTTGATGGTTGAAGTCGAGAATATTGTGAACTCTAGGCCTTTAACCCACGTATCGATAGATCCAAATGATATGGAATGTTTAACACCAAATCATATTTTAATTGGCACTGGAAGAAAACTGATTACACCTGGTGATTTTACAAAAGAAGATTTTTGCATAAGACGCCAATGGAGAATCGCTCAAACCTTAACAAACATGTTTAGGAAAAGATGGTTACATGAATACCTGCCTACAATTATGCCTAGAAAGAAATGGCTGAAAGAAAATACACCATTGAAAATTGGTGATTTAGTTTTGGAAATCGATGAACATTCTCCAAGAAATTCATGGCCTATGGGAATGGTTACAAAAACATATCCTGGGAAAGATGAGAGAATACGAGTCGTCGACGTCAAAATCAAGGAGAATACTTATAAACGATCTGCTGCCAAACTCATCCGACTAGACCTGGTTGATGAAGTATTGTAAGATTACATCTTACTGAGGTGGAGAAAAGGACCAGTAATGTAGATGATTTGGCAATTCGTAGGCTTATAAAGGGCTTATAAGGGCTAATAGGCTAGCTGGCTAATAAATGGTGCACTCACACTCAATTCATCTATATTACTATATCCATAACAACAATAATATCAAACATCGCGAACATAATACAAAGGGATTATATATACAAAGGGATTCAATAAATATAAATCTTCAACAGAGTGACTATAGCAGGTACTTACTTTAAAATCATAATGTACCAACCGGATTCCTTCATCTCTTGCTGAATTTTTTGTGCATCGTACAAGAGCACAATGTGATGGCATGTGCGAATTATTGAATAGCCGAAAAACACGATTCGAATGCCAAAATAATTGTGAAAAACTATTTCAATCATTTTTGTAAACTAATAAGAAAAGTGAGGTTGTATTTCAATGTTTCACCTCCAGGGTCGGTCATCTGACAGTTCTTGCACGCAACCCGACTATTTTAGGTTAGATTTCCTATCAAAGCAATCATAGCCGTAGACAGAAAATAGAAATAGGGTATAAATACCCATACTTCACCAATTATTAATAGGGATACAGCACTTTTCGCTATAGTTATAAAAATGAAAAGAATGCATATAACAACAACTTAATGACAAAATAGTAACATATATCGATATATGTACCTACTTATAGCTAGTTCGGTCAGTATTGAAAACGATATTCAATGATATATCACGTTCCAATTTCCTCTTGATTTCCTCAGTTTCGTTCTCTAATTTTCAAATTTCATTACGTATAGTTATGCAATCAATTCGTTTTGCTCCATGATAGTTTTGTTTTGCATTTCGTGTGCTGATAATAATGGATTCTTTTTTTGAATAATCTGTTTTGTAAATGGATGAAACAGCAGATTTTCTCAAACGGGTCATAAAATCTGTTCAAAAATGGATTTTGATCTGCTGCTATGAAAAGTGAATTTTAATATATGTACCACACAAATTTTGCTCATCTTCAAATTAATTTTTCATCCATGACGATGCATACATTCCTTCCATAAGAGAATGGGGTTGATATTTCCTTTCGTGAATTGAATAAATGTTCATTCATGCTTTCTTCTCAATAGTTTATGACATTATGTTACAATTCTGACAGTCATAGTATTTATTGTCAAATTCGAAAAAATTTGAATGAAAAGGGCGGAACAACTATGGTGCTCTTGTCACAATGCAAGGTGTGTAACTGAAAGAATCTAAACATTCAAAAACACTAACAGTTGTCATTTCTTTGTCCGAACCATAGACCTCCGAACTCTTATCTATTGGTATTGGTAGGTTGGATGGTGACAGATGCGCTGCAACCCAATTAGATCTATTGTACCGCATCTGCTTCTGCTATATCAAGGATTTCTTGTTCATAGCAGCCCCTCGAGATTCAATTCCTTCAGGAATTTGAGGATTTTGAGGAGGTCTAGCTGTGGTATTTCTTCCACAGTCAGTTGGTGTGTTCCCAGTATATGTCCAATCGTTTGTGATGTACAGCGTCACACTCCATCAGTATGTGATGGGGTGTTTCTGGTTTTTCCTCACAGAATCTGCAGGTGCCGTCCTCCTGTAAGCCTAGCTTCCTTAGGTGTTCTTTGAGTCTGCAATGCCCCGTTAGAAATCCCGTTATTGCTTTGAGACTTCCTTCGCTGAGGTTTGTCAATGTCTTAGATCTTTCTGGGTTGAAATTTCCAAAGAGATCTTTAGCCTGCCGTAGTCCTGGAAGTCTTCTCCATTGTCTGGCTCTCCAGGCTCCTTCCGCCTTCTCAAGTTCTCCTTGGAAATAGGAATTTCCAAGACCACAGAATGGCTCTGGTACGATCAGCGGCGTTGAAGCCCCTTGTCGTGCCAGAGCGTCTGCTTGTTCATTCCCCTCCACTCCAATATGCCCTGGCACCCAGAGGAGGGTCACTTTATTGTTGCTGCCTAGCTCATTCAATTTGCTTAGGCATTTCCATACCATCTTCGAGTTGATGTAAGGAGAGCTCAACGCTTTGATGGCTGCTTGGCTATCGGATAAAATCGCGATGTCTTTCTTCCGGTATTTCCTGTCTAGGTTGAACTGGATGCATCTTCCTATGGCGTGTATTTCCGCTTGAAAAATGCTGGGGAATTGTCCCATGGATTCGAAGTATTTGGTGCGTGGCCCAAAGACTCCTGCTCCAGTTCCCTCGGGTGTTAGACCCGTCCGTATACCAAGTAATGGTGTTCTTTCCCAGTGATTCGATGGATTTTGTGCTCCATTCGCGCTTGTTGCTCAGCTCCACTCGGAAGTTCTTCTCAAAACTGAATTTCCTAATGATTTGGTCTGTTGGAAGATCGGCGAGGTGTGCGATCTCAGTGGGGGGTGAGCCCCTTGCACTGTGCGTTTTCCCTCTTAGTCCGACCTTGGCTAACCTGAGATGTGCTCCATAGGCAGTTCTCCTCACCACGATGTGTAGAGGTGTGAGATCCAAAATGACCTTTAGTGCTGCTGTTGGAGCTGATCTCATTGCTCCTGTTATGCAAAGACATGCCAATCTTTGCACCTTCTCTAATATTTTCCTTGTAGTGGCGAGTTCGGTTCTGCCGTGCCACACTACTGCTCCGTAGGTGATCATTGGTCTCACTAGCATGGTGTACATCCATCGCAGTATTGATAGGTTACACCCCCACGTTTTGCCTGCAAGGTTCCTGCACACCATCAGTGATGATTTTGCCTTACTGGCGATCTTTTCTACGTGTCTATTCCAGAGAAGCTTTGAGTCTAGGATGAACCCTAGATACTTCACTTCTTGCTGCCATTCTAGGTCTTCTCCGTTTAGACGGACGACTCTTAAGTGCTGAACCTTCTTTCTTCTAGTAAAAGGTACCAATGTGGTTTTCGTTGAGTTGATTCTCAACCCCACCGAATGGCACCATCTTCTGGTAGTCTCTAGCTCTCTCTCTCTTATCTAACTAATACCATCCAGTGACTCTAGTTGTAGAGCTCGCTCTGCTCTAAAATTGAAGAAAATCCTAGTCTACTCCAAAAGTATTTAGAGTGACAAAAGCTGAAAAGTCCGAAAATTTTATAGCTTTTTGGATACACCGCGCTCGCACAGCACTATGGAAATTGCAAATCTGGTTTGATGATATTGGTTCAGGTCCTAACAACATATAAACATTTCAGAACGACCTGACCTTCTGCAGGCACGACCCCCTTTTCATGTTTATCCTTACTTGACTGATGATCCCAGAATCATTTATCTGAGTACAGATTTATAGTGTCCTCTAGAAATAACAATGTTCAAGAACGTTTGTTCATCATCTGAACTTGAACATGAAGATAAAGATGATGAGCTGAAGCTTAATATGCCCACTGTTTGATATTGCTGGCCGATTTCTCAAATAATATCCTTTATTTTTATTTTACTTGATTTTTTGGGATTTTCTCTCCTCGTTTGGATAAAATGAAAATATGCGTATTATTTCAATTTATTTGTAGTGGGACAAATCGGAATATTTGCCCCAAAATATCACTGCGTTTAACAAATTTTTCTCAGGGAGCCAAAAAAAAAATCCAGTGTCAAAGACACTTTGTTTGAAAAAATGTTTGAAAGAACGAAATATAGATATATTAAAAAAATATCGAATTTTTACTTATCTTTGGACGTTTCGGGTCCGATTCTGCTCCCCTTCTCAACATGTTAATGCAAATTATGTTTCTTTGAAAGTTGTGCTGCCTATAGTCTGACACTTTTCAGTGTCATACTGATGTTGGCATATGAATGAGTTATTTTAGTCTACAAATGAGTTACAGGATGTTTTCATCAATTGATCTTGAATCTACAATTTCCATGTTCAGTTTTCAGTAGTGAATACCATGTTCTATTTATATCAACTGAGCAGGAAGCAATGCTATTGTCTCCGTTGAGAAGAGTTCAAGCAGATTCTTGATTTTTCTTTTTCGGTTGTTATCTTCCTTTCCTATGATTTTGATATATTATTCCACTCTGCCATATGTTGCCCATCTTCAGTAAGGATATGTTCAGTTAGCTTCGATTTATCGAATGTCTTTTCTTGATATTGTACTTGTGTTCTTTAGCCCTTACTGAGAGATGTCTTTTCGTTCCACCTGTATAATACTTTCTACAAACACAAGGTATACTATGAATACAAATTTTTGATGATTGTATTCATAGTATACCTTGTGTTTGTGGAAAGTATTATACAGTTTCCCAAAATGTCAAGTTGCTATATCATTGCATAAAAATATGACGAGCTGTCAAATAATCACGTAGCCATCCGGTATATTAGATGCATTCAAAATATATTCCAGCATTTTCTTAATGTTTAAGTACCAGACCAACATTCATAAGCTAAGTCATTGTTTGAGTGTGTTTGGATCTATGGAAAGATGCAAAAATAAATTTTAAACCGTCTTGAAAAGGTTTTATTTCTCGATAAAACAAAGTCGATAATCCTACCGACCGAATATAAAAATCTGAAATATGTGCAAACATAAATGTGGAATTTCTCAAAAAATCGATGAACTTTCAATTATCTACAATGGCACTCTACTTAAGACATTACTTTCTATATAAATATTTAATTATATATTCAAAATAATACACAATGCAGTCTGAATAAATTACTGTAAATCAATTCGTTTAAAGCTTAAACAATTTAATCGGCCATAATTACAGATTTTAAACAATTTTTAAATGTATCAATTAAATACTCTGCAAGAATAAATAGTAACTCATCGATACGAAAAGAATAATTACTAAGTAAAAAAAAATTGCATACACATATTCACAAACTATAATCAATATGTACAAATTTAGACTTTGGGCAGATCACTAAAACATGCTTGACGTTCTCGAAAACGCCATCCAAATATTTTTGCTGAGATCGTTCAGACCCGCTGAAAGCCTTTCATGGAAAACCTTAACATCTAATAAAAATTCTCTTAAAAATGTAGCTTATTTGTTAGTTTCGAACAACTTATCTCTCAGGCATTTGATTTTATTCACGAAGTACCCTTCTAACGTTTCTGCACACTTGTAGAACGGAGATTCTTTGGGGTTGTAGTATCGACAATTGTCGAAAATTTTAGTCATGTCCCCGATGAACTCGCTAAGTTTCGTGTACACTTGGTCATTTATTTTACCCTCTATCATCTGCAAATCTGAGAACAGAAAGAGCGTGTTATTCAATGAATTCATCACACTATGAAGGAAATATTCATGTTAAAAACTTCATGAAACCCGAAAACTAACAGGAATATTTTGAATCCTGAATAATTATTATACACTCAGTTCCACAAAAAGTGACGCACTTGATATTTGACCCATCTTCTTAAAAAAAAAAAAAAAAAAATAGCAGGCCGATTTTGTTATTTGTTGGTAGGTAATGCATTTGTTTTTAAGAAAAAAATAAAGAGGTGAAAATTTTTTCAAAGCCTTCTTGATGGTGGTGGAATAACTCGAACCATGATTCATTCTTAATTTTTGACTCACCCTGTGTGTGATTTGAGTAATGGTATACAAAGTGCTTACACCCTATATGAAAGAGGCTTCTTTTGCGAGCATTTTGTTTTTTTATTCATTGATTTATCTCTAAAATTTTCCGAATTACAGCATTTTTGCTGATACCTTACGCTTATCCCACAAATTAAATTTATTGAAGGATCAGAGTACTCAAAATTGATTGGGTTGTACTCTGATAGGATCACATTGTCTTTAAAAAAACAAATGCCGTTGCGATAGCAACTAATTTGTTGTATGCCTCCATATTTGACCATTTGTCGTTGTGTCATTAATTAAGTGTCTTGTTTTATTGACTAAAATTACATAAAATGTCTCTTATAAATCCTGAACAAGTAGCAAGATTAGTTGCATTAGTAAACGATGTGCGTAGTAAACGTTACGCCGCCCGTGCAGTGGGAGTTCATAAGAGCTTCAAAAAGATGTGTCACAAGATCTCCCTTTCCATTGAGTTTTTTCTCCTCAGATGGCGCCCAGTCGCCATCATGAAATTTTCATCTATCAATTTTACTTGAAAATATAGTATTCATGCATCAATCACATTACCCCAAGATTCAATTTTTTCAGTTGACCAGTTCAAAAAATAAAAGGGAGGTAGAACATTAAAGAAAAGCACTGTATAATAAAATACAATACATCCTGAAGACAACGGAACGCGAAAATAATTTAGGGTGCATAACACTATTGTGCTGTGAAAAACAAAAAAGAAATGTCTAATCTCACCAGCATTATTGTTTTAGAACCAACTCTGGTAAAGAGGATGGGAAAATGATTCGAGTACACTGTGTTGGTTGACATCTAGGCGATTACATCAATTTTACAACACGGCTCTTATAGATATTAATGCCAAAAAAGCATACTGGATACAATTTGTTTCACCTTCCTCGGGAGGTAACATATGACAGCAAAAACAATATTGTTTCCTCAAAATGAGGGAGCATAGGTCTACTCTCGATTCAGTGAACTATTCAACTTTCTAGACTTACCCATCGGTTCCTTAATAACTTTGTAATAATCAGGTGCCTCTGTGGGATCAACCGGTTCCATGAATGGCCAGGCACTTTTGTGCACCTGAAAATAATAATAGTTAGTACATCAGATAACATAGTTCAGTAATTTCTCAATAGATCTTAAATAGTATGACATTTCTCATTCATATTATGAAAATGTCTTACCTGTAACTGTTTGATGAGTTTCCTCAAACCCTCAAAGTCTTTTTGTGCCAAGTCTTTCATATTGGCGAAATTAACGGAATTATTTCTCTGACATCTCGGACAGACGTACTCATCGATATTGTCGGCCTCCGACTGCAAAATACCCACACATCTACCATGAAACCAGTCCTGGCATCTATCACAACATATATAGAACCTGGAAATACAAAACACAACTAAGTAGGACTAATTGATTGACAAAATAATTCACTTGTTACAGAACAAGAGATAGTTTAGAAATTCTGACTGTTTGACAAAATAGTTAACTTGTTACAGAACAAGAGATAGTTTAGAAATTCTGACGGCTTGTTCAATTAGCTTATTTTCTCCTATGACTGGGATTCATATTTTACAACCAAATATCTATAATACACTAGATAACATAGAGAGACAGAGAGAGAAAGAAATTGAAACGAACATTAGAATTACACAGTAGTAAGTACTAATCATCACGTGACCATTACATTATATTCCAGTTAAGAATAAAGCGGATAGTGGGATTGAGAATTTATGACCTCGCTTTCCATTGGTCTAGACGCTTGTCGAGTTTACACTAGCGATATCATTATTGGAAGAGGTAGGGCGACCATCAATGCTTCATACGAATATATGATTCTACCGAGAGTGTCGTTAACCATACAGTACAATAAGTAATAAGTGTAATAATCACAGGATACGAATCGATTACCATTGACCTCTCTAGTCAGATGTTAGCTTTTCACTAGCCACAATCATTAAGATACTATAACTTCAATTTTGACCATCAATTCTCATATTGTGTTATAAATGATAAACTCTTTTGCGACAGCAGCCTCAAAACTAGGTTCACCAGTTCCGATTTTGTGCGGAGTTTAGGATATCGGTTCAAAATGAATATCCGAATTCAACTCAAACAGCTTTGAGTAGTCTCATTCTGTTTGCAACATCATATTTGTGTGGAGCTGGGTTTTTAAAGATCAATGTGGAGAAAGAAATTAGAGGAACAATGTCAAGCCTTACTACCCACTTTGAAAAACTGTGTGGAGATCACCAAGCTCAGTAGTGGAATTGATTTGACTGAGTAGCTATTATATTTTATTTTTGCTTTTCTCAAGTCTCTCTTGTTGTTTTCTGTTTCAATTCCGAATTCCTATGAATATAATGAAAAACTCAGTAACATATTGTGAACTTTTCAATTGTTGTGCCTATCTATCTAACTATTGTAGGTAGGTACCTATTTATTTCAACTGTAGCTAGGGTAGGGCGACGAGACAAATTACCAAACTTCCGGTGCGCCGCGGGCGAAAACACCCCTGTTCTTGACCTCAGAGTAATTATTCAAATAGGGTGATTCATTTTGCATTTTTAACATATGGAAAAAGCATCACATTGTAAGGACATCTGTGGAACCGCTGCCAAATCGATAATTCGAGATGATTTTTCGGATAAAACATCTTATTCGGTGGCGGAATCGTTTAAATAGAACGCAACTAATGATTCCACAGAGTTATCCCCTCTACTCGAAGTTTCATTAATTTATCCGTGTTTGTCCTAACACACGCGGTGTCTATCTATTGCTATTTAGTCCAAGTTCTAGACACTATTGATCGACCTATTCGAACACTCCACGAACAATTCGTCAAGATTCACTTACTGAGAGTCGTCGTACGGCTGCTGACACAAACAGTACAGCTTGTGCGTATCCCGCGCCTGCTTGCACTCGTTACAAACGAACTCCGTCAGCGTTTTGCTGCTCTCCTCCGTGATGCCGACGCAGTCGCCGTGGAACCAGTTGTTGCACAGGTCGCAGCCCACGTAGAACTTCGTCTCGTCGTAGGGCGTCTGGCAGATGCAATACACCTAAACGATATGTCAGTTGTTTATGTGTTCCTATGAAGATATTGTTGATCAATCATATATTCTCAAAGATCAGCAAGAATAGGACCTCCTCAACTAACCTAATATTTGTTACGCGGGTGACAATTTCACAAGATATAATAGAATGATTTCATGACAATCTGCTCATCTGTAATTCAATATTATTGCATTTACCCCTGTATCACCCAGGTAAAAAACCTGTACAATATCGCCCAGGTAGGATCTGAAGTACCCCATAATTAGAAACAAAAAAAAATGAGAAAAAAGATATTCTCAGATCTGTACGAGAAGTATATTCAGTACTACCACTATAATTACTTCAAAATATTCGGGTTATACATCCCCAGCTTGTTGCATAATTATATAGTATCATTTTAACAGTTGAAATAATCCCACAGTGAAGAGGGAGGATTATTCTGTTAAAGTGATACGATTTGTAGTTGTGCAGGAAGCTTGAGATGTATAACCTTGATATTTTGAAATTCGAATTGCATTCGATGCGATTATTTTTTGAGTAGTTATAAATGTAAAAATTTCAGGACGCCCTTTGTTTGTATGGAAAAATATGAATTGGTTAGGACGGAAATGAAAATAATTCTAAATTTCTGAATGGTATGTATGTCCACGTATATTCGAAATTATACAAGGTACCTTAACTCAATTGAACGTTCTGATTGGTTGAAAATCATAGGAAAAAAATAATCTCAAGATATATTCACTTCATATTAATAAGCACTAGTGCATCATAAGTTGAATGTATGAGATGTCATCAAAACAATATAGATGGTGGAGTTCTCATAAACAAAGTCATAATAAAAACTTGAACTCAAATCTCTATAGCCCAGGATAGTTGATATAAAAAAGAGCTCTAGCCTCTAAAAATTGCTGGAGAGCTGGAAATTATTTTAATCTTCCTTGGGGGCCTTGAATAACAGGTATATGAGTTTTCTAGGTTGTGCTTCAGATTCAAGAGATAAAAATCAGAAAACTATAGACGTGAAATTTGAAGTTTTTTTACAGGAATGACACCTGGGTTGCAGGAATCTTTTTGCATGCATCTTTATCATTCTTCTGGAGTAATCAAATATCTGTCAGTCTAATTCTGTGATTTGATTCTGAAAAATTGCTAATTTAGTGTTTGTTTAGTAATTTACGTATGATGAGCTGTCAACAGAGATGAAATTGCAAACTTTTTTGTCGTCACAGAAAAATAATCATTTTATCCAGTTCTTGGAGACTCGATTCTCAGTTGATATATTCGAATTCCATGCAAAAGAATATCATATTGGAGAAGAGGAAGAGATGGGAAAAATGGGTTAGTAATGGAGACAATCTACAAAGACAGAAAGATAAGAGAATGATAGAAGATATCACTGACTTAATGATTTAGTGATTCCACATGTCAACCAAATTCGATGTACCTTGTTCTATCAAAAAACTACTAAGAGGTGCTCAAATTCTGACATTCGACTTCACACAAAGTGTTTAATCATGTATTATCAAAAAACATTACCAGTTTCAATTGTCATCCCTATGTGCCTAATGTTCTAAATGTAGGACGGCCAGATTCTTGAATCTCTCAATGAAGAAAAGTCATACAATTCATGCACTCCATTTATTTTGACCACAGTCAGATGAAATATGGAGCATTCAAAGTTCTGATTTCCTCCAAAAAGATTTAGGCATATCTGGGGTAAGAATGTATGAGTGAATCCTTTTTGTCCGAGTAAGGAGCTAGCAGCGTGTATGTGAAACAAGTTATATTGTCTAGTCTATGATTATGAATTAGACAACATACCTGTTAAGGAAGATTATTCATATTCGTTCGTTTCTAAATACACCTTGTATCTTGTTAAAAAAAAATAAGTGACAGTGTCAGATAATTAATGAATGGATGATTGAAAAGTCGAACAGAAAGTTCTCACACCTTTGAATAATAAGACCCAGATAACAAATATTACCAGTTTTCAAGCCAATGAATTCCCAATTCACTTGAAACATCTCATCAGAGAAAGAAACAGATTGAAACGAAGAGCCATGAGAACTCTCTATCGTCCTCATAAATTGGAATATAACGAAACTCGTAATATCGTGAGAACTGAGATTGATAATTTCCGAAACTCAAGATGGCAGACCACACTGGAAAATTTGGATGAAGGTCCTAATAATCTTTGGAAGTTGATCAAAAGAGTTAAGAATAAGAAAACCGTCATACCTCCTCTAAGAGGAGAGAACGGAGTCAAGTACAGCACTGCCGAAAAAGCTGTCTTTGCTGAGTCACTTGTATCACAATTCAAGTTGAATGACTCGCAGGAGTATGATCAGGAATGGGATGGTTCTGTTGAGCGAGTAGTCCTGGCCCATTTAAATAATGACGTATACGATTTAAGAATAAGGCCTCCCTCCTCCCTAGGGATGAAATAAATGGCTACATCAAAGGACAAACAGAGGTTACAGGAATTTATCGATACCAGATGAGCAGTTCGGTTTCAGAACTGGCCACTCAACTGAACTACAAGTCTTGAGACTCATTGAGAACACAATATCGTTGAGAAATGATAGACAAAAGACCCATCTTGCTCTCCTTGACATAGCGAAAGCATTTGACAAGGTGTGGCATGATGGTATCTTGTACAAAATGATCGATATGGGATTTCCTGACGATTTGATTCAGTTGATGTGTTCATTTCTGAAAAATCGGACTTTTCAAGTAAAACTTGATGATCAACTATCTGGTATCAAGCCCATTGAAGCTGGTGTTCCTCAGGGTGCAGTTTTATCGCCGCTGTTGTACAGTTTATATACTAGCGATTTGCCGAGACCAGTGATGTGCAAGATGTCGCTTTTTGCTGAAGGTACAGCAGTTCTTGCATATTCGACAAACTTCGAGCAAGCAGCTATGAACCTCTCTTCAGGAGTACTTCCTAAGATGGAAGATCAAATTGAATCCTACAAAAACAAAATAGGTCGCACTCGGAAGGGAGCGGAGGCCTCCCAGAACCAGAATAGTCCTGGATGGTCATGAGTTAGAGTGGTCTTCGAAAGCTAAACGAGCCCTTGGAGCCCTGTATCCATTTCTAAACAGACCAAGTAAATTGGGTTTGAGACAAAAATTGAATATTTATATCATGGCAATCAGGCCAATTTTACTGTATGCCTCAGTAGTCTGGGGCCACACAGTTAAATCTCATATCACCAGATTACAAACATTACAAAACAAAATCGCGAGAATGGTGACAGAATCTCCTTGGTATGTTCGGAATAACCAGATCACCAGGGATCTGAAACTCCCTTCAATCGTGTCAGTCATTAGAGAATGAAACATCAAGGCTTTCGAAAAAGCTGAGGTTCATGAGAATCAGCTTCTTCAAAATGCAGTTGATTATGACCCAGGTGATCAATCGTTCAAAAGACCGAGATTGTCCATAAACAAGAGGAAATATCGACATTATGGCCAAATTTACTATTCTCAAGTTTTTGATATTTATTTATTCCGTTCGATCTTTTACAATTCTCAGAATGTATTTCTGAAACTTATTTGGGGCAGAAGGGCTGTTCGCATCAAACTTCAATGCCGTTTTGTTTCATAATAGATATAAAGAAAGAGGGACTCTTCCCTGGTTTGAATCAAATAAAAGAAAGATCCAATATGATTGTAAATGTCAATCGAATATATAAAGAAATTAAGGCGGGCCTTTCGCGACAGCTTTCCGACCGAATATAGCCTATATATATATACTAGTTCAACAACTATTTCTAGGTGTCAGGGTGATGTCGAAATCGGAATAAAATAATTAAATTACAGCTTTCACAGCTATTGTAGAGTTCTTCGATTTCGTTTGTTACAGCAGGTCACCAATAGGTGGCACACAATTGAATGCAATCGTAGGTAATTGTATTATGTACGTGCAGTGTTGCCAGAGCTACTGCTCCACGGGCCTGCTCAACATGATTCCACTTTTCACTCCATTCAAGTCAAGCAAATACCTATATCTCGCTACAATGAAAATTAATGTCATGAGTCATTTTTGAAACTGTCTTCACAAGTAGTCTTTCGAATATTTCTTTTCCTTTTTAATTTCATTTCCTACTAATATAACTTATCATTATTGGCGTCGCCAGAAAAACTTCCAAGGATGGGGATCGAAATCATTGTTCAGGGCAAAATACTCAAAATAGTCTGTGTAATTCAGAAATAATGTGTGCAAGACTTTTTATCAAGTTCAGATGGCTATAAATAGAAATTTCGTGTTTTCTGTATAGGGTATATACGTAGACGATTGCCTAGAATTCACACTGCTATTACTGATATAAGGGTTATATTGATATATACAGTGTGTAGAATGAAAGAAATCCTTGATTCAAATTTCATGTTCTCTAATTCAGACCTGCTTGCTGAAATACAAATTTCGATCATAATTGCACTTATGACAAAAACAATTTTTTCCAAGTGAGAACTTCTAGGCGCGTTGAGCACTTTTTTGGGTGGAGAAAAACATTAGATTTCGCGTCATCGTCACGACCCGTTCCGTGTCCCGTTATCGCGAGGTCAATGAATAGCAATAAATTTGAAGGGTGCAGTATCGCATCTCATCTTATATTATGTAGTATTTTGTAATTATGATTAGATTCTATTCTAAATTGGTATATGGAGGTTTTCGGGGTCGGAGATTATGATTCTTTCGTGAAAATTAGGATATTGAAGATGGCTGACGAGTTTTATTTATAATAATTATGATCCCATTCTATTCAAAATTGGTGTCTGGGGGTTCTCGGCGTCGGAGATTATGATTCTTTCATCATGGCTCCACCAATATGGCGCACGAGTTTCGTAATTATGATTCTATCCCATTTGAAATTTGTATCTGGGGTTTTTTGGGGTCGGAGATTATATATGAATCCCGAAATGAAAAAATTCAAGATGACGGATTCAATATGGCGGACGAGTTATGTGATGATGATTCTATCCTATTTAAAATTTATATATAAGGGTGTTTGGGGTCGGAGATTATGATTCTATCGACAAAATTGGGAAATTCAGGATTGCAGATCCATTTAAGCGGACAAGTTTTCTAATTTTATTATCCGATTCTATTCAAAATTTTTACTGGTGTTCCAGGGGTCGGAGATTTTGAATCATTTGTCAAAATTAGGAGATTCAAGCGAACACCATCTCAAAAGTTTTTGTTAGTCTATCTTAGACAGCGAATGTTTTTAGGTAATAAAGTTTGTCGAGTTGATAAAAATTCTGTTTGATAGTGATAAAACAGTGTATAGTGTGAGTGTGATTATATCGTACCAAAGTTTCCAGGATTCCCTGGATTCGGTCTTCAACATAACGGTGAGAAATTGATTTGCCATCATATGCTTTCTATATCTCACAATCCATTTTGTTTTAATGGTCAACTTTTTTTAAATCATTTAAAAATCGAATTATAATGAAAAAAATATAAGAAATTTATGTTCATGCTGATATAAAACTCACAAAGTTATTGCATGAGGAATTTTAAAATGAAATATTTTTCTTGAACAACCTGTTTCTCCAAAACTAACAACATTTTCTATGAGAGATGTGAGGCTGCATCTTGATATTCTGATGTTTACTATTTCTAGCTCACACATTGACCATTTTCATGCTGATTTAAAACTTACAAAGTTATTGTATGAGGAATTTCAAAATGAAATATTTTCCTTGTACACCCTGTTTCTCCAAAACTAACAGCATTTTCTATGTGAGATGTGAGATGTGAGGCTGAATCTTGATATTCTGATGTTTACTATTTCTAGCTCACACATTGACCATTTTGAATGAATAACCCTGTATATATTTCAAAGAAAATTTCAATATCACGGAATTCATTGAATTTCAAAAATCTTCCCCAAAGAAGATGTAAGTGGAATATGAAGTATCTACCTACGATAATTCTCTAAAACATGAACTGGATGTTCGATAACGTCTCCAAATGTCTCGAAAAAAAAGCGGCTGCTATATTTTCAAATATTTCGTATGTGGCTGACTTTCCTGTTGCCTCGCTTTTCTGCCCATTCTTATGAATTTTTGCGACATATCATTTGCAGCAGCTTGCAACACTGGCTTTTCAATTATTGATTATATGCCGGTTAGTTTGAAGTTCATCTGAAGTTCACGCAATTCAAAGTGGCACGTGGCGGACTGCGGAAAGACGGGGAATCACCGCGCGACCAATGAATATCCCCCCGGTTCGCCGCGGGAGGGAGACATATAACGATTTCTCGCTCAGTTTTGTTTTGTTGCCGTGGCGGTATTATCCTTTGTCGCTTTGTGAATATCGCCATATCAATGGATCCAAAATCTGAGAACTGTACTCTGAGAGTTCTGAGACGAATGTTTTTGCATGAGTTTTAGAGTGAAATAACCTGAACTTTTGACACAGATTAACAAAGCTTTTTGAAGTTTGTTCCACAACTGTGCCATTCCTATTATTTCCATCTATATGCTGACATAATTATCGATCTCATGAATATAGAATTGAAGAAATTCTGCTGAATTTGTATGTTTAAATTTTCAGGTCTACTTATATAATTATAATTCAGTGACAAATTCTAGGCCGTTTCAAACTACTCTATTTATTTTCTAGTTCTTTTTAGTTCGGTTCTCTATACCTCTTCATTTTTTCAAACTACTCTTTATTTTCTACTCACTTCTTTTTAGTATGGCTATCTATAAAAAGGTGTTTCATTAGTTTTTCAAACTACTATTTATTACAATAGCTGATACCCGGCAAACGTTGTTCTGCTATATACAATTGTTTCCAGAAAATATTTTTTTAGTTTAATATTTATCAACATACTTATATTCATTTGTTTTCTAATTCTTCTCCGACCCCGAAAACACCCAGATACAAATTTTGAATAGAATCGGATCATAACTACAAAACTCAGTTGCCATCCTCCATCTTCAATTTCCTTATTTTGATGAACAATCATAATCTCCCATCCCAAAATCCCCCATATACAAATTTGGAATGGAATCGGATTAAGTTACAAAACTCGTCAGCCATATTGAATCTGCCATCTTGGATTTCCAAATTTTGATAAAAGGATCATTATTTTCGACTCCGAAAACCCCCCGATACCAATTTTACATAGAATCTGATCATAATAATTAAAAAACTCTTCCACCATATTGGATCCACCATTTTGAATTTCCCCATTTTGACAAATGATTCATAATTATCTACGACCTCTAAAACCTCCAGATACCAATTTTGAATAGAATCTGAGCATAATTACAAAACTCGTCCGCCATATTGGATCCGCCATTTCGAATTTCCTAATTTTGATAAAAAATCATAATCCCTGACCTCGAAAACCACCAGATACCAATTTTGAATGATATCTGACCAATCTGTTCTGTTCAGCACCAAAACATACGCTGATGCTCTTAGATTCCATCCAGAGAAGAGCCATTCGCCTGGTGGGTGACGCCACACTCACTCACTCTTTGACATCATTGGAACACCGTAGAAAGGTCGGCGACCTTTCACTTTTCTATCGATACTTCCACGGGAAATGGCTATCATCCCTCCACTAGCAATACCAGACGAAGTAGACAAGCCCAGTCAGCACATCCTTTTGTTGTCAACCTCGAAAGATGTCGAACAGCACTTTATCAAAACTCCTTCATCCATAGAACGGCTAGGCTCTGGAATTCAGTGCCCGAGGAAGTATTCCCAACAACATATAATCTCCAGAAGTTAAAAAAAAAAACTCCAATACCTACCTCCTGTCCCTATCCTCCCTAGGAACGCACGATGTTCTTTGAACATTATAGGGATTTCCTTTCGTGCGCTCCAAGCGATAAAAAGAATTACAAAACTGGTCCGCCATATTGGATCCGCCATCTTGAATTTCCAAAATTTGACGAAATATCCATAATCTCCGACCCCGAAAACCCGTGAGTACCAATTTTGAATAAAATCGGATAACTATACTCGGTCGCCATATTGGATCCGCCATTTTGTATTTTCTATTTGAAAAATAGATTACGACCGATTCTCATACCTACCGAATACGCACAAAAAATTTCATACGAATCGGTCGTGCCGTTTCGGAGGAGTTCGACCACTATGACCGTGACCGTGACAGGAGAATTTTATATATTAGATTTGTTCGTCTTACAAACACTCGGAGAACCTCCCCTTGAAATATGCCCAAATAATTGAATAATACCCTCTGTATTATCACGTCGCCTAGATTTCATAATATGTCCGAGTAATATGTATAACATTGGCAACGGTGTAAACGGGTTTGAATTCATCATCTCTCCTAAGCGCCATCTGCTTGCAATACAATGCACCATTCCTCTCTGCCACAGTCTGTCATTCCGAACACTGCCATCTATCAGGTAGTGCCTGAACTACAACATCCTAGTTTCCTGTATTATATTCTTTCAAGAAATGGAGTTTACCGAGATCAGCTGGGATGAATGGATATTTTGTTGACAGAATAATCGTTTTTGTTGCTTCCTGTCCGAATGGAAACATTTCAAGAGCTGATATTTCAGTGACACCTCGCCGAATTTCCAACAATTGTACTGAGATCGAAAATATTTCAATTTGAGACAAAAAAATTTCAATGTTTACGTTTTTCAAAAATCTGTATCTTCTATAAATAAATGAGTTTCGACTCCGTATGATAACCAGGCCCTAGTCCCAACCTTCTTCTTTGCGATGATTTAATCAGTTTTTCAATTGAATCATTCATAAGCCCAAATAGCAACAACTAGTGCAGGCCTACATGTCGATTTGGTTGAAACTCTCCTCTTAAGGAAAAGAAAGATATTTATTTGATATAAATGAAAAGAAATAGCGCTAACAATACCTTTTCGCGCTTGAGTCCGCCCTTCGTGCCGGCATGCAGTCCGGGCGGCGAGGCGTGTCTCGCCGCCACCCCGCCGTGCTGCCGGTGGCCCTTCCGGTGCCGCGAGGCGGCCGCCTTGTGCCCGCCGCCAGCCGGCCGAATAGCGGCCGTCGTCGCCGTCGCTGCCGACTTGCGCTTGCCGCTGCCCGTGCGCACCTCGTCCTGCTTCGAGCGCTCGATCTTCGTGCGGGCGGCCAGCTCCTCGGCCACTTCTCGCTGGAAACGAAGGGGGAGAGATGTATAAAAAATTAACTGGTGCACTTGCTCCCTATTGAAGGTCGTTTGCAAGTTTCTCGATGGCGCCTACTCTGATAAACCTTTGATAAACATACTTGACGTGGGTAAATCTCGCTAAGCTCATCCTGGTTACAATCCATATTTACAGGAAACATATTACCGACCGATAAATATTTGGATACGTATAGGATTTGGATCAGAGCAGTGAACTGATTCCTGATCAAAGGATCGAAACGTCAATATGTCAAAAATATTCTTGAGCTGAAAAAATGGTTATTTCTGAGATTGGGGTCAAGTGTTCGTTAGAGACGTGTTCCATAGTTTCAAAATTTTGTTTATAATACCTAATCCACCATAGAAAAAAGAAAATCTCTGTTCTACAACAGTATTATTTCAGTGATTTGGAATATTAGCGTGAACTGGTGTGAATAAATTCTAAGGTGAGTACCAGTTACCATATCTGCCTATTATGATTTTCGATATTGGTCTATTTCAATAGTTGATACATTCTTTGTTCTGGTTCTTTAAAGAGGAAATTTATCAGATTTCATGCTTTAAATAGGTTCTTGTCATGAAAGAAGTGAAGCTTATTAAAATCGGCTACAAAAAAGATTTCTTGCTTCTATTTCAAATTGAAATTTGAATGAAAATGTTGAGCACAGTATTTATTCGACCACAGAACAATGATGGAAATAGATTCATCCCTCACAGAACCAAGGTTTTGAACGATTTTCCGATTATGGCGCCTCTATCGCAAATACCTGAACCCCACGTCCAAAACTCGCTTGCAATTGTTCCATATCGAGAGTTAGTCTGACGAAACAATTGAAGAGTGAGCCCACCAGTTAAATTTCTATACATCTCTGAAGGGGGGCATCCCGTTATACAGTGTGGTCATTCAAGTGTGCAACCAGCGTTGGGGATGCTATTGCAATTGTACTGAATCTACTACTAATACACCTTGCTTAGTACGCAAATACGACAACAGATAAAACCTGCATAATCTAGCACGTTCTTCGATTTCATCCATAATAATGTAATTTATAATGTGATGTCATCAAGAATATGAGTAGACCAACGAATTCGCATCTGAAAAAGACAATAATTGAAGTGTCTGAGCTTTTTTACACAATTAAAATAATATCAAACTTTCGATGAATATGGTCCAACCTTGACGTGCTCATCTTCTATTTCTGTCAGAAGTATTTATTTTGTTTTATTTCACATTTTCATTATTGACCGATTCATTTATTTCGTTTCATTTTTCGTTATAGTAGTTGTTGAGTGTTTATATTGTTTCAAAACTACCCAAATAAAGATTAATTTTTAAAATTCCTATAGTTTTTCATCACATGTCGAATCTAGTACGATCTATTACAATTGCGTACTAGATTTTAGTACGAAGGATCGCTACTAAAAACCCAATAAGGTGTGCAACATATTGGAATCTTTTTAATGAATTCCACAACAAAAATGCCATACTTTCTTAAAACACTCGTATCTTCTCTTGAAAATGAGATATTGACGTAAAACAAGGACTATTGTGTTGTCTTTGATAACAGAAACAGAAAATATAGTAGTTTACCTAACAAGTGCGAAAAGTCACTTTTCCTACCGCTATAACACAAAAATACTCTTGTTTCACTGTGTTCGATACATCAATGAGGTAGGTACTTCGTTTGTCATCAATTTTATTTCCGTATCTGATATCACAATGACTCCATTGTGTTATTATTTCAGAAAAATCCCATCGCCCAGGGAATGTCAAATTTCAAGCAATGACAGCTCTGTCTAATAGATGATCATTACTTGACAGAAAATCAGAAGGCTTCAAGACGAAGAAATCGAAAATGCCGCTGTTATCTATTATAGCCGTAGAAAAATTATAGTGTATAACTTGCACGGACTGCTAATTTTCTACTCGAATGATTGCAGCATTCGCCTATGGCAAACTTCATTCTCGTAGGAAATCATTATCATTCCGTGCTTGTTAAACAATATACTATAGTGTGCAGGTTTACCGGATACAATGCATACTTTTAGATGCACTTCATGACCCCTTGATGCATTTCCGCCACCTGCCGACAATAAAAAAGGATGGCATTTCTTTCTACAGTCTTCCTGAACAAAATTTAAAAAAACGCATTCAAATCGGACCTGTATATTTTTTATATTTGAAATATTGATTCTGCACAATATATGATATATGTGATAAATTTCAAATATTAGCAATGAATTCAGATAATTTCTAGTTTTTCAGTAGATATTCCATCGATGGGCCTTGTAAATATGTGGCAACACTGGCAACATTGTCCATATCACGAATTTTCATATTTACCTTGTTGCTGATACAGTGTTTTGTCACACTTTAGTTTCAATTTTACCAACATTCAACATTCAGGAATATTCAGTACCTACTATTTATTGACCATAAAAGCTGTGGACCTAATTAGTAGGTGGCTATGAAAGGAAAAGTGCAAAAAGTTTCAAAGTCGACCGAATAAAAATCTGAAGAATAAAGGATTGAAAGGTAACTGAGTGATGATTCTATAAAAAAAAAAGAAAAATGGTCCACTAGCCCATTTGTTGGACAGCTATTTTGTTTGGTAAGCAAATTGGTCACTTTGAAAGCTGTAGAAGCCAGATGCTATAATATATCCATGATGTAATTTACGCTTTTGAACACATTCTCAGTAAATTTGAAAAAATCTGATGAAGGGTTCTGTCGCCGAGTGGCGATCAGGCTAGTTGTGCGGGTAAAAAGAACCCTGTACAACTAGCATGATGACATTCAGGTTGCCAGATATGAGTTTTGTTTTGTCTCGTATATGTCAGGGTTTTTTTTTGTTAAAAAACCGCAAGTTGAGGAATCCTTTTTCTAATCTAGTGTATTTGTCAATCCCATCATTCCCTATGGAGTCTTATCTATCGGAAGGAAGTTTTCACGGTTTCCCATACGAAAATTCTCAGGACGAGGAAGATAAACTTCGATATGGCGCCCACCGTTCCCAGATGTGTATGAAATCAACATATAACAATAATAATTTGTATGACATACAATGCTCACCTGAATTTCGAATTGTAATTCTTTCTCGAGAAGTGCTCTCTTCCTTAGGATGTCCTTCTTCAACAGTTCTTTCTGCCTGAATAAACTAACCATAATCTTTGTTTTCATGCTAACTTTTTTGTCAGAGTCCGTAACTTCTTTGATTTTAACTCTACTTCTAGGAGAAACCATTTTTTCTTTTATCTGTTCTTGCCTGTAAGGAAAAATGATACTGAATTCAAGTATATTTTCGAAAAAAAAAAAACATCTGAGGGTTGGTTGGTTGGTCATGTGTTCATCAATAATTCGGCTTCTCTGTATTCATACAGCAGATCATCAAATGCAAAGTAAACAAAAACTATTCGGTTGTGAGTGGAATATTGAAAAATGAACCAAAATCATTGGGAGACAACACCTCAGATTTAGCCAGATATTTACATGCCTCTATCAACACCATTTTTACACATGTTCAAAACTATATGCATGTTTTCAATATTAGGGAATCTGAAAAGCATGAATATATGGCTCTGTTGAGTTTGAAGGTCATGTAAGTTGCCAATTTTTGTTTATATATTGGTAATAAAGAACATTTGTATACGAAACTTCAATAATAATGGTTATTAAAAAAGTTCAGTCAGCGTTGGGAGAGAACAAATATGTCTTCTCCTTTCGCCTTGTTTTCATGGTTCCATAGGAAGAATATGCGAATTTTATGTGGATAACTTCAACAAAAAAGTTAGAATAGTCTTCTTCTTTTTTTCTATTACCGACATGAATTTTTATTTCACATTAGAGCCCTGAAAACAAGGAAGTAAAGTGAAATGCCATATATGCAATACTGATTGCCTATGGATATTGAAATAGTAACATCAGTTACAGAGGACAGAAAGTGTCAACGTTAAGTCAGTGAACCTCGCTATTTTTATTGATGCTGATTGATGAATAATGATTTCATGATGATATTATTGGAGTATAGTGAGATATAGTAGATTTATATCAACAACCTTTCTCCATACTGATGAAAAAATCCTGGCTATTCTTTTCTCCCCAAATACTACGAAGGCCTAGTTCAATAAAGTTAGTGTGAAATGAAAACGAATAGAAACAGATTCGTTGACACCCGGAATTCGTCATAGATACTTACGCCACATCGACCTCGACCACCTTCTTCCCCTCTCCCACCGCCACAGCGCCTCTGTTCGGCCTGCTGCGCTTCGGCGTCTCCATCACCCAATCGGCGTCGTCGTTCCTCGAAGCACTCAACTGCCTTTTCCGCGACGGCGCCGCGACCGCCGGCGGCCTCGCGTTCACGATCGGCTGGCTGGCCAGCTTCGGCAACGACGGCGGTTGCTGAGCCACGCCCTCCGGCGGCTGGTCCTTGCTGGTGGTCATCTGGCGCTCCTGGTAGCGCTGCAGCTGCAGCAGCTTCTCTTCGATCTCGGGATTGAGGTTTTCTTGCTTGAGGGCGGTCTTTATCGCTGCAGAGAGAGGGCGGAAGTGAGAGATGATTGGGGGGAAGGATTCGGCGCGGGAGGGTGGATGTACAGTCGCATTCAAATAAAAAAGCGTACAAGTATATTACAGAGAGAAATTAACGTTATCCTATTCTGCATAAAACGGGCTATCGGGAATGATTGTTTATCAAATGTTGACATGTCAACATTTGATAAACAATCATTCATGTTCATTTTACTTGATTCTTTGGGATTTTCTCTCCTCGTTTCTATAAAATAAAAATATTCGTATTATTTCAATATATTTGTAGTAGGACAAATCGGATGATTTGCCCCAAAATGTCACTGCGTTTAACAAATTTTTCTATCAGGGAGTCTAAAAGAAAAATCCAGTAGCTTGTCAGTGACAATTTGTTTGAAAAAATGTTTGAAGGAAAGAAATATAGATATATTGAAGAAATATCGAATTTTTACTTATCTTTGGACGTTTCGAGACTGAATCTGCTCCCGTTCTCAACATGTAAATGCAAAATATTTTTCTTTGAAAGTTGTGCTGCTTATAGTTTGACACTTTTCAGTGTCATACTGATGTTGGCATATGAATGAGTGATTTTAGTCTACAAATGAGTAACTGGATGTTTTCATTAATTGATTTTGAATCTACCACTTTCATGTTCAGTTTTCAGTAGTGAATACCATGTTCTATCTATATCAACTGAACAGGAAGCGATGCTACTGTCTCCGTTTAGAATAATGCAAGCGGATTCCTTGATTTTTCTTTCCAAACAAAGAAAACAAAAGAATTTGTTAAACGCAGTGACATTTTGGGGCAAATCATATGTTTTGTTCCACTACAAATATATTGAAATAGTACGAATATTTTCATTTTATAGAAACGAGGAGAAAATCCCAAAGAATCAAGTAAAATGAATGTACTACCCCCTCGATTAACCTACAGACAGTATTTGTCATAGGTTCTCGAAAACACAAAGCATTGGCTGAGCCAGTTTTACACAACTAGAACTAGGATCCCGAAATCCTCTCTTTTTAATACTTGTACGTTTTTTTATTGAATACGACTGTACAGGGTTATCCATCGAAAAGCCCCACCCCTAAGTTATTTTTTCATTGAGAAAATAAAAACAATATGCGCGAGTTGAATGCCGCAATGTGGCAGCACTATTCAGAAGTTTTACAGGGTGATTCCTAAAAGCGTGACAAACCACAAATTAATGTGTGTGTAGGAACACCCTATTTTAGGCCAATCAAATAAGATCCAATTAGCCTGAATAGAAAAAATAATTGATAAAAATCTGAAAATTGGTGGAGACCTTCATCTTGGCTCACTATTGACTGTCCTCAAAGTCCGGACCCGTATCAGCACGGCTCGGTCCGCCATCTTGGAAAAAAGGTACACTGATTCAGTTTTTCCATCATATTTCCGTATCCGTCCATCCTATCGTATCAAAGGTTATTATAAAAATTTAAGATCTTGAAATTCTCTATGAAAAAGGTCTCATTAACTTTTTTTATAATATCGATACTTTTGTGTCAAATCACCAATGAATATATAAATGATGTTCATTATTCTCCATTTTACGAAAATTTTCGGAATTACAATGTTTCATTGAATAATCTTGAATGATTTGCCCTATACGAATACTTCTGCCTACTCTGTGACGACACAAGGGGAGAAAAAGAGAAGGGGTCCATAAGGTCATAAAGTCCTGACACGTGTGCACATGTCTGCACTTGCACTTACACTTCCACTACTTCCAACAACTCATTTGCAGGTCATATACAAAATATGCTGTCTTTTTTTCATGCTGGCCACATCCTTCACGCTAAAGCATGCCATCTCTATCTTCAAGATATGCTACATTTGAAAAATCATATGGATATTGAAGAATACCGTAAATTTGTTGATTTCTTACAATCAGACGAACCGACAAATTTTGGTCTGGAACTTGGTCAGACATGGTTATTGAGCAAACTTTGATGAGAAGCATGAACATGTCGAGGTTTCAAAGACAGTATTCCTTGCAAATGGATTCTGGCAATGCCTGCTCTTTTGGACATCTGTGACAGGTTAGAACAATTTTGCGATGTATCTTTCATTAGTGGCGAACAGCATGCCGATTCAAGGGAGTCACGAAAAGAACGAGATGACGAGGATGTGAAACGGTTTCAGCACTGGCTATCTTCTCATGATCCTTTTCCGAATTCAGATAAAATTTTCTCAATAAGTACCGGAGTTGTTGGAGATGGTACTATCGATTGTTACAATGCTCTTGAAAATGGTGTACACGGTAATAAGAAAATAATAGGAAACAATTTCGGAGACGTGAAGTTCAAACGTGCTGATAAAGTTCATCCTCTAGCAACTCTCAACTCTGCTAATAAAATCATCGACGTGATGGTACCAGTTAATCCTTTGATGCTATTCCAAAGAATCATCATTGCTTACAAAGATTATGAACAATTATCCGGTTATCTTGAATATGAATTGTTGGTGAGGATATAGATTTGCTCGTTCTACTCACTGCTTTAGCTCCACAAGAACGGAATATTTATTTTCTGAAACCAGGAAGGGGCGAAGTCGAATAACACGAGCTGGGGAACGATTTTTCTTGGCAATGTATGGTGCACCTGTGACTGATACCTCTTTGAATAAACATCCTTTCAATATCTTCAAAAAGTCAGCATATAAAAACAAATTGAATTTGGCTTCGTTGCCTCCAACAGCTGCAGCAGCTCAACAACACTCTTTCCGTGTGTATTACCAGATACAAAAATGGCGTGGTAATGAGAAACTTGTGCACATGATGAAGGCACCAGCCCTGGATTCATTGCTGAGGTTGATATCATGCAATTGTAAAAAAGGATGCACTTCCTCCTGCGGGTGTAGAAAAGCAGGACTGAACTGTGCAGCCATGTGTGGGTACTGCCATTGTACATGTATGAATTCAGATACTTCGTGTGATACTGAAAAGGAGATAGATCATGAAGATGAAAAATTTTTCGTGTTTGATGCGGAGGACAGAGATGATGATGATCATTGATCTCTGCAGTACCTCAGTCATCTGCTCGCAGGACAATTAATTTTTTTTTCTGTATAAGTACTTGTTAGAACAAAAAATTTTTGTATACACAAGGAAATACTATATAAGTTTTCAAATAATCACTCCAAATTATATCATTTCTCACAAATTCTATACAGAGTGTATTTTTTTCGGCAATGAATACAAATATCCAAATATTTAACAGTGTATAACAGAAGAAATATGGAGAAAAGGAAAAAAATGTTCTCAACCTTTTCTATGTGGAATTCAATTAGCTTCATTTTTTGTAATGACTCTCAATACGATAGAATCAACAATAACTGAGATATGAGAGAAAAACTGGAGTAGTGTGCTTTTTTTTCAAGATGGCGGATCAAGCCGTGCTTGTATTGGTCCGGACTTTCGGCATAATCAACAGTAGGCCAAGGTTAATGTTTTCACCAACTTATAGCTTTTTATCAATTATTTTTTCTATTTTTTCTAATATGACTGAACTATTTCTTCAGTTTTTCGGAATCTGTGATTTTACAAAAATATAAACTCAACGGCAGAAAAAAACGGCCACCAATAAATGTTGCCAAATCGTTCGCCCTGTAACTTTTTTAATTCTTGTCTGATTTTGGTGTAATTTTGACCAAATCCTCTATTCATGTTAACAACAAAAGTTACTTCTCCACCCTTAACTTCCTGTGGAAAAGGTGAGTGGTTGAACATAGATCCATTATGTTTCGAATTGAAGTGTGATCCCCTCTTAACACAATGGTTTTCGATTTACGTCAATAACCACTATTCAAGAGAAGATACAAGTGTTTCAAGAAAGTATGGACTTTTATTATTTTTATGAGAAATAATTCAGAACCATTCTCCAACCTTCCGCTTCATCTTGATTTGAATTGAATTGTAATCCTTTTTCGTCCCTTCTTAACATAATGGTTCTAGATTCACGTCAATATCCCTTTTGCGAGAGAAAACTCAAATGTTTCAAAAAAGTATGGATGTTTTGAAATTGTTATTAACCATAATTCAGAATCTATAGAGCCATAGGAATTAAGTCCAGAGGCTGATTCGCCTTCGTCCAGCCTTGTCAGTGACACTTCAAGAACTACGACTTACCCTTCATGGAGAATTTTAAGCAATTCTTCAAGACCACTTGAGAAATTCGACCAACTCTACAGGGTGTTTCGAAATTCGACCGACAACGCTTGACAGGTGATAGCCCTCGTGATTTCATAATCACTGAGATAGGGACATACGGTCTTCAACTGTTCAGTTATCAAGATACAGGGCGTTGAAGTTGAGAAATTAAAATAGTTTTTTCGCAATATCTCAAGAAACATTGAATATAATGCATTCAAATTCGGTATATGGTTTGATCTTTCAATGGTTAAGTTTTTGACAAGAAAGACATTCCGAGAATTTTATCCAGAAGTGCGCTACAGAGGGTTGCGATAACTTTTCCGCCCATATTTTCTACGCCACTGATGAGATTTCAATAATTTCCAATTTCTCGAATTGATTGTTCAATTATGTTGAAAAAGTTCATCACCTTCAACTGAGCTAAAATGAACAGTTATCGAGATATTTGACCCAAAATAGAAGTTGGCATAGTAATTTTTCATCATCCTCAGTAGTAGAAAATTACAAACATTTTTGTTTTCTCTTTATCCGTGGAATAACCATTTCTATTCAGCTATAGAATGAGATCTGAATAGTATCTAATCTACTCAACACCAGAAAAATATTTTTGCAATTTTCTACTACTGAAAATAATGAAATATTACTATGCAATTTTCAATTTTGGGTCGAATATCTCGAAAATTGTTTATTTCAGCTCAGTTGAAGGTGATGCATTTTCTGAACAAAATTGAACGATGAATTCGAGGAATTGGAAATAATCGAAATTTAATCAGTGGCGTAGAGAATATGAGAGGAAAAGTTGCCACAACCCTCTGTAGAGCACCA